TGCTAAAATCAACTAAACTAAAATAGTAAATTATTTTAAGCCATAAAGAATGAATGGCCTAAAATCTCACCCATTTAAAACCATTAATTTTTTATGGTTTATAACAATTCGTTATGAATCATTAGTTTTTATGGTTTTAAATAACTAATAATATAATTAATTATAATTATATTATATTACGTTTATTTTTGTTGGTAGATCCTCCTGGATCAATGTCTTATTGGGCTTGACTTGGGCTGATCTCCTTAGCCCATGGTAGTCCAGCTGGCGTAGACCTCTCAATTTCCCTTTCGTTTCATAAAGGACATTTTCATCATTCTTGACATGAAAAGTCCACACGATGTGCTCTTAGTTGATGTGCGAAACTCCACATCTATGCGTAGTCAATAAGATAAAAATGGGATCCATTTTGCCATGTAACCATTTAATGAAACAAAGTCATCCACGGAAGAGCTCACATCACATGTAGGTTTTCATGAATTTCGTTATGAGTTTTTTTATAAAAATTTTATAGTACAAGCGATTAGGGAAATGAGTTTACATAAATATTCATTGAATGCTTAGATGTTTCAAACCTCTTTCCACTTAAATGGGGGTGAAAGAACTCAACTAACTGAGTTATACCTCACCGACAATTATGAGTTTGTAAAGTCTTCGAAGATTGGGTGTCAATTTAAAATAAGCGGAAAGTTTTTATGAAAATTATATAATCTTTCTTCCATCCTTTTTTAAAGTTTTATTCCAGGGTAAACCGGTAAGTTAAAGTAACGAAACTTTGGAGTTTGGGTTTAGAGAGCATTTTGTGGGGTTCATATAGAATTTCCCTTGGCAAAAGTAAGCAAAATACAGAAGAAAAGCTCAAAGCAGGCAAATACAACGGAGTCTCGTGGGTAGCAGGTGAGATTTAGAGCCTAGGGTTCAAAAAATTAGAATCTAATAACAACGGTATCGAGTCCCTAAATTGAATTTGAATTTGGTGGTAAGACCGAATAGAATGCAATCGCAGCAGCAGAAGATGAAGATGAAGAAGAATTTCAGAAAAAGAAACGCGCCCGCTGAGGATAACCAAGATTGTGAAAAAATCAGTGACCAAGAAGATGAAGAAGAAGAAGAGAGGAGGTAGGTACCTTCCGACGTTGTTTTTGTATTAATTTCGTTTTTAATTTTTTGGATTTTATAAAACTGAAAGATAGAAAAAGTGCTATAATTTTACTGAAATAGAAATAATGAGCAGAAGGATATTCAGGGTAGACTGATAATCATATTAGGGCTTTCTGTATTTTCTTAAATTCTGTATTGTAATTTGAAAGAAAGAATGTAATCTATGAAGTATGAATGTGCAGATTGGCGCTGGAGGAGGTGAAATTCCTGCAAAAGCAGAGGGAGAGGAAGTCTGGGATTCCTGCCTTAACAAGTAATGGTGCGACGCAGAACATTCCTAGTACTACTAATAACAACAACAATAGCAACAATAATACTAACCTTGATAAGAACAAGAGAGGAAGCGACGGCACTCATTCTCCTAGTAATAAGCACGGTGAAGGCGGTGGCGGAGATGGAGACAAAGATGATTTAGTTCTCCAAGATACCTTTGCTCAGGAAACTGCCGTTATGGTTGAAGATCCCAATATGTAATGTCCTTTTCTTTTGCTATTTATATTGCTCTTGCTTTTGAATTTTGCCTCCATATAAACAATATTTACATTAGTGTAGAATGGGACTACGAGGGAATGTTGTATTACCGAACATGATTAAGGCTTCCTATGTTGATTATTTGAAAGGTTGAAATATGTTGAACAAGAACTAGCGAAGAAGAGGGGCAGGAAAATTGATGCTTCAGATCAAGTTGAAAATGATTTAAAGCGTGCTGAAGATGAGTTGTACAAGATACCTGACCATCTTAAAGTGAGTCACTCAGCACTCTAGTTTTATTTTCTAAAATGCTTCTATGTGAGTACATCAGACCTATCTAGACCTATGACTCTT